GCTAGGTTTTCAGAGGAAACTTCCTCAGTTTCCAGTCATAACCCTCTTTCTTCAACCCACAAATTTTATGAGTTGCTACTTGACATTATATTTTCCTAACAAGAGTTGGGGAGTTTACCACATTTTCTACAATAACAGAACAGTAACAGTAATGTCAGAACATCAAGTATCCTTCAGAAAAGATCTAAATAATTTCTATTACTCTTCCTGATTTTGAGACAGGCAGGATAGGAGGAGGTTAGTTACAATGGTGACCCATCCTGAGCCTATCCTGTCTGTATTCATGCCATATTTCATTTATACTGGGGCCATATCTACCAAAATAATGGTATGGCCATACTTACAATGTATTTCCATAGGGGTATTCTGGATTTGCCTCAAAATGAACTCATTTATTTTTATTTTTACTTTTTGATGATACATAATATTTGTACATATTGATGGGAGACATGCGATATTTTATTACATGCATGGAACATGTAATCATCAAGTAGGGGAATCCATCAACTCAAACATTTATTATTTCTATGTGTTGGGAACATTCTAAGTCCTCTCTCCTAACTATTTTGAAATATACAACACATTGTTATGAACTATAGTCACTCTATTCTGTTTTTTTCCAGAGTATTATGAGGGTACAAACACTTCAGTTATATAAATTGCCCTTGCATCACCCGAGTCAGGGCTACAAGTGTGCCCATCCCCCAGACAGTATGCACTGCATCTCTTAGGCTATAGTCACTCTATTTTGCTATTGAACATTAGAACTTATTCCTTCTACCTAAACATATGTTTGTAACTATTAACCAATCTCTCTTCATCCCCTCACCCCCCCACACACACCCTTCTCAGCCTCTGGTAACTATCATTCTACTCTCTACCTCCATCAGTGCTTTTTAGCTCCCACAAATGAGTGAGAATATGTGATATTTGTCATTCTGTGTCTAGCTTATTTCACTTAAGATAACGATATCAAGTTCCATCCATGTTGCTGCAAATGACAACTTTCATTCTTTTTGTGGCCAAATAGTATTTCATTGTGTATATATACCACATTTTCTTTATCCATTTGTCCACTGATGGACATTTAAGTTGAGTCTATGTCTTTGCTATTGTGAATAGTGCTGCAATAAACATAAGAGTACAGGTATCCTTTGATATACTGATTTCCTTTCTGCTGAATAAATACCTAGTAGTAGGACTGCTATATTGTACAGTAGTTCTATTTTTAATTTTTTGAGAAATCTCCATACTGTTTTCCATGCTGGCTATACTAATTTACATTCTTACCAATAGTATATGAGAATTCCCTTTTCCCTGCATCCTTGCCAGCATCTGTTATTTTTTGTCTTTTTAATGACAGTCATTCTTACTGGGGCAAGTTGATATCTCATTGTGATTTTAGTTTGCATTTCCCTGATGATTAGCAACGTTAAGCATTTTTTCATATACCTGTTGGCTATTTGTATGTCTTCTTTTAAGGAATGTCTATTCGTGTCCTTTGCTCACTTTTTAATGAGATTATTTGGTGTTTTTACTGTTGAGTTGTTTGAGTTCCTGTATATTCTGAATATTAATCTCTTGATGGATGAATAGTTTGGAAATATTTTCTCCTATTTAACAGATTGTCTCCTTATTCTCCTATTTCCTTTGCTGTGCAGAAGCTTTTTAGTTTAATATAATCCCATTTGTCTATTTTTGCTCTTGTTGTCAGGGCTTTTGTGGTCTTAGCCATAAAATCTTTGCCCAATCCATACAATCAAAACATTTGTACCTCCTTAATATTTTGAAATAAAATATATATATTTATGTAAATCTTTGTCTAGACCAATCTCAACCATTTGCTCTATGTTTTCTTCTAGTAATTTTATTGTTTCATGTCCTAGGTTTAGGTCTTTACTCCATCTTGAGTTGATTTTTGTATATGGTGAGAGACGGGGATCTAGTTTCATTCTTCTGCATATGGATATCCAATTTCCCAGCAACAGTTATTGTTGCTGTATGTTCTGTGTACTTTTGTTGAAAATCAGTTGGCTATAAATATGTGGATTTATTTCTGGGTTCTCTATTCTGTTCCATTAGTCTATGTGTCTGTTTTTATACCAATACCATGCCGTTTTGGTTACTATAGCTTTGTAATATATTTTGAAGTCAAGTAATGTCATGCCTCCAGTTTTGTTCTTTTTGCTCAGGATTTCTTTGGTTCTGTACAAATTTTAGGATTAAAATAAACTCATTTTAAGGGAAGAAAGAATTAAAGGTTGGGCTGGGCGCGGTGGCTCACGCCTGTAATCCTAGCACTTTGGGAGGCCTAGGCGGGTGGATCGCTCAAGGTCAGGAGTTCAAGAATTAAAGGTTGGCTTTAGGAGCTCAGTACTCCTCCTTAAACCAAATGGTGATGCTGATGAGGCTGTGTTAATTGCCTCAGCAGCACTGACAATGGCAACAAGGGTCTCAGGATCAGATGCTGGCACCCTCAGAATAGAAGACTTCAGTAGCATCAACTATAGCAATAGCATTTAATGGCACTTTTGATAACAGCAGCAATAAAGAGAGAAAAATAATGACTACCATTTAATAATCACCTAGTAAGTTTCTGGCATTATTTTAGGAACTTTGCTTAGGTTACCTCCTTAAAAATCTCCACACTAATCCTCTAAAGTATGTATTATTATTTCTGTTTTAAAGATAGGATAAGTAACTTGCCCAAGGTAAGTCAGTATATTAGCAGCACAGCTAAGACCTTAAACCAGATGTCTGGCTCCTAAGTTTCTGCTTATCTGATACAAGAATCAAAGAAAATTGCCTCCAAGAGAATGAATTTTAAAGGCCCACGTCAAAGCCACCTGGAAATTTCAAGACTGTTTAGAAAGGACTTGAGTGAGAGCTAGAGTTCCAACTGAATAGATTTTGGGAGCAGCCAGAAATTTTGCATCTATTATTATTAAACCTTAGCCCCAGATTGGTATAAAGCCTGAAATGTAGAGATTACAATTTGATAGTTTCATAGAATCTTGACAACAGTGCTCTTTTTTGTAACAGCATGAATGTGCACTGATGTCATGTGAATTCCATGGCAATTGTACATCACAAGTTTTTCCTACAGAAAGTATCTTTCAATATA